CCCCCCCCCCCCGGGGGTGCAGACCACAAGTAGTGATATAAGATTACACTCGCCGTAGAAGTGTCAAATCATGAAACGTCCTTCTTTGGTCGCGCTTTAGAGTAAATTTATGGGCAGCAGGAGTTTAGTGCATTGTTTCTTGCGGCTCGATATTCGATCACTCCAAAGCCAAAGTGACCATATTCAGTAGCGCTGTTGTAAAAACAGATATGTAAATTTAGAGTCACGTGATAAGGCTCGAGAGAGAGAGAGAGAGAGAGAGAGAGAGAGAGAGAGAGAGAAGTCCTGTGAGAGAAGTGAGAGTTCTACTGTAATAGTACAAGGTCGTTCGCAAGAAAAATCAAATGATTTCAAGTTATACGGAGTTTAGCTTTCATTACATTCAAATCTTTCAAAAGGAGTGTAGTATCTCAGAACGGAGTCTAATCAAGTAGCTTGTAATTGGAATTCATCGAATAAAGGCATCAGGACGATTTAACGTAGTGATTTTATCCAATCTCGAACAAGCGCTTAGATTTTGGACAAGTATATTATCGAGGTGCCTACGAGGGAAGTTGAATTTTTCACATTCTTTTTCTTGAAAAAACAATAGGTTGCCGACCTGTAGAAAGTCTATTTGTTCGTTATTTTCAAAATCATTATTGGTTAGCAGGGACGGCGCAAGTAGTGAAGGTTTAATATAAGGTTCGGGCGTTGGGACATCCAAACATCGTCGTGATTCATAAGACATTTGGTAGGCTAGATGTACCTGATCAGTATGTAATTCAAGAAATCCTTCAAAAATGTTTTGATTTCTTTTTTTCATTTGAGCCAAGACCATGTGCTGCTAAGGGTTCCATCAAAGCCACCAGTGATTTGATCTAAGTTTTAAAAAAATCTTACAGCGAGAAAAAAGTCCTTTTGCAATTTTTATAGGGTAGAACTAAAGCCTCAGATTTGATTTGGGCCAATATCCTCCATTTCCTGCAAGTTTTTTTCGGAAAATATCTGAATAAAATCTTTTTTCACTAC